TATATAATTTATTTAGGGGGGCTGTACTTTTAAAGACCTATGTTGACCTGGGTTGTCTTTGTTTGATATTTACATTTGTTGACTGACCTTAATCATTAAAGTGGTGAAACCATGAGGGGGAAAAAAGGAATTTAACAAAACTTCGTCACTGCACTGCACTTGTGGAGTTAATCATTCTAATTGATCAATAAACTGAAGTTCCATAACGTTTATCATCCCTGATTCTCAGGTAGGGATGGTTCAAACGGTGGAGGGTGCCCATACCCAAAGTGGCCCCTAGATTATTTGTGACAATGATACAAATGTTTCCGCCCAAGCAACTGACCAGTTTTAAGTGATAATTGCCCGGTACAACAGAAGATGGTCGACATCACACAACACTAGCGCGTTCTTGATGCGGTCCACGGAGGCTACATGAGGATGAGCCTTTGATGGCGTTGAAGGACTCAGCCTCCTAATTGTCTTTCGAGAATTTGGAAATCACGTGCAGTCGAAGTGCGTGGCGAGTGACATCATGCAGCCGGAAATGCGGCCTCCGGCGGACGCAGCCTGTGACTTTGGTCACAGCCATAGACAAAACACCATTCAAGCTACGGTGCATGTTTTTGGAATGTGGGAGGAAACCGGAGGACCCGGAGAAAACCCACGCAGGCACAGGGAAAACATACAAACTCCATACAGTAATGCCGGGGCCGGATACGAACCCATGACCTCTGCACTGTGAAGCAAACGTGCTAACCAGTCGATCACCATGCCGTCCCATTCACGATTGTGCGGAGTGGAAAATAAGCAGGTTACGCAAGACTGCACGTACTCCCTGGCCTTGAATTAATTAAAGTGCACGTGATGGATTCCAACCAGCTGCTGATTTCAACAAGAACTGTTGACAGTTGTTGAACGTGCATGAGGACATACTCCAAGTTGTGTACTCCAAAAACACCGCCTTATTCAAAGGCGTTAAAAGTGTTCTCAGCGGGTATGGTGGACAAGCGGCTTTAGTTACAAATGGTGCCATCGGCTTCGCAGGTCTCCTTCAACGACGACAAGTGAACGGCTGCGCGAGTGGGTAGGCCTATTCAATTTGAATGACATGCAGGACAAACCGAGTAACATTAAAATCTTTCATTGAGTTGATATGTATGAAAAAAAAATGCACCTAAAGAGTTCTTGCACTTAATGTTCAATTGTTTTGTGCCTTCATTGAATTTGTTTTTTTATGTACAAGAGCCTTGCACTGGGGAAAAAAAATTATTAAAATAATTACTGGTATGTGATGTTCAAATAATGACAATTTTCTGCTTATATTAACACCTTTACATGCTTTCTCAATAAAGAATGGCAACAATAAACACATAACAAAATATAAACAATTTTTGCAAAAATAACATTACACACACAATGAGGAGTTGACAGGGATCAGGATCAGCTGGATGGAAGTTTTTGGAGAATCCAGGCTTTCAGCAGCTCCATCTCTTGCAGGGAGATTTGGTGGTGGAGACCGGGAAGGGAGTGGAAAGTGGTTTTCATCCCTGCCTTCTGTAGCAATACCGATGTGTCCTCTCCCCACTGATGAAGCACCAGCTCATCACTTGTCCCATGGCACTGGAACAACTCCGGGAGGGAATGTCCCGCTCTGACGCGCTCTTCCACTGCCTTCATGACACAAAAACTACAAAAGTGAGGGCCAGTGTACTGTTAATGTTCACAAGTAATCATAAATATGGTGGTTTGACTGCGATGGAGTAAGCAGAGTTTTGCGGGAGCTCCGACAAGGCCTTTTATAACTCCCGCTTTTAGTTCCACGGTAATCAGCAAAAAAAAAAATATATATATATGACCTTTTCACACTAACACCAAAGACGCTGAGGAATAACATCCAGATGGCAGCCAACCTACGGAAGTATAGATTTACTGGCGCCACCAATACTAGGCCCAATGCATCCTCAGAGCAGAGTGCTTCCAGGTGTCCCGTTGGACAACCCACTCGCCCCACAGGGCCCCTGCAAAATGCATCTTTCAGAATTGAAGTCTGAACTTGGCATATACAATATTGGCTGGAGGTGGCTATATTTGTGATTAAGTCAATGTTACGAAATTCGAGATTTTGACTCAAACTACAAGCAATGAAAATGGATACAGTATTTATTATCGGCACTCACGGGTGACCCAATTGACCCTATTTGTCACTCGGCGGTTGTTTTGGTTTTTTTTTGCCTTGTGAGCAATTTGAGTTATGACCCACACCCATTAGATGGCAGCAGCAACACATGTAGACAGACAATAAAACTACATGTCGGCATCTATTCTTTATCCTCTGCAAAGGACTATCAATGCAGACAACTGAAACTGTTTATGAATGAATTGTATGGTGCCCCAGAAGGTGCATAAAATCATGATGCATAAACTGTTTTTTTACATCTTTACATTCCCTTTAATTGTCGGAATACAGGATGTATTTCAAGGCATACAATGCTGTGTAGTGTTACTTTTCTAATAAGATGGTGTTTTTTTTGAGAAGCAGGAATTAATGGCATTTCTATTCATTTCAATGGGGAAAAACAATTTGAGGTACAAGCATGGTCAAGGAACAAATTAAACTCAAGTCAAGGTACAGTAGTATCTGGATTTCTGCATAAATTTGCCATAAAATTTTAGTACAAGCAGATTGTTTGGCCACACAAACATTAAAATTGGAAAAAAAAACAGCAACATCCAATTGGTTAGTTAGTTTAAGAAAATGGTGTTTGGCGATTGTGACAAATGATATTTATAAAATAGTAAACATACTTTAGCTTGCAATTGTAAGTACAGTATATAAGCTCGTGCATGTACACAAACACACCATTTTCAATTCAAAGCACCAAGTAGCACGTCAGTCTATGGACTCTGGACATTCATTCAAGTGGAATATCCGGGGCTCCTGACTTTTTTATTTATTTATTTTTTTTACTCTGAGCACACCCCCAGACTTAAAATTTTAGGGTTGCTGAAAGAAAATTTAGGGGTGCACACTGGAAATTGACTCGCAAATTAAATATTCATGTCCCTCCATTTTCTCTGTGTTACTGAGGAATACTTGCAGTAACTACACCATTTTATATTAACATTTCATTGTGCAATTTTCCACAACATAAACTCTCTGTATAAGTTACACAATGGGAGGTATGGCACTTTCAAATTTCATCTATTACTAATGGCTAAGAGAGGAAGTACCGGTAGTGAATCTCAGTTGAATATTTCTTGAGGATGCTTCAATTTAATCCACAGGTTCTATAGCCTTATGTTTGAAAGTACCTCGAGTCATTTTGAGTCTCAGCAGTCAAATAATTGTCCACACAGTGGAGATACTCTAAGTTACGATTTGCAATCAGAACCCTGTCAAACTTTGATTTGCAGCACCAGAGAAAAGAAGCAGTATGTTCACTCCATCTGTGCTTTATGACACTTTTGATACTCGCTCAGAAACCAGAAAAAGGGAAAGCAGAATGTATGGGACATACACAAGAGATTTGCCTCCTTTGAACAGTTATTAAGAAAATTCAGTGTTCATAGTCCAACTTTTCTGGCATTGGCAGCAAAGATATTTTAATATATTCAACTCAGATTGTTTCCTGTTGTGTACACCTCACATCACTCCTTGATGAAATTTTATTGTAAAACTGATATGAAACACATGAGTAGAATTGATATGTTACTTCAAACAGAAAACCTGGCATAGAAATGTGTACAAAAACACGGGAGGCAGACATGGGAGGTGAATATACAGTATCTTAAAACCAGTTGCTCTGGAGCAGTGGTTCTTAACACACACACACAAAATATATATATATATATATATATATATATACACACACACACACACACACATGAATTTTTACAAATTCAAGATATAAAAAAAACGCATTTATTAAAAACAGAAAAAAAAGTAAATACAATTTCAGGAGACATAAGTATACTTTTTAAAAAAAATTGTACGGCATACTATCACGACAGTCATACGTTGACTACTAAGAAAACTAAATTTCCCACGGCACTGATTGGACAAGCAATGTCATGTGATCATCTGCAGCCAGTGATGGCCAAGTGGGCGTGTCATAACTAATTAACATGTTGAGTAGAGTGTGTCTCACCCTGCTTGGCAGAGTGTCCGTCGAATCCGTGAGACCGACTCACCGAACCCCTGGGGCTCGATCGAACCCAGGTTAAGAAACACCTGCTCCGGAGCATGAGGGTGGCCAGTACACCCTCTCCTCTAAGTGCATGATACTGGCCAGAAGGCTTTTTCTTTCTAAATGGATGGACTCCCTTCTGCCAACATGCAGGCACTGCATGTGAGAGGTTGCGGGTTATGTATACTCAAGGATCTGATTTAAGATGGTATGCTATCTGTTTGGCATTTATATAATTTGTTGCAAATATGGCAGCGACTACTCTGGCTACTGGATAATCGTTTTTGTAATTTCATCTTGAAGCATAACGTTTATGCAAAGACCCTCTGTTCGGCATCCCAGGGAGGTGGAAGGAGGTTCCAATTTGTTTATGTAAGTTGTCTGTTTGTTTATGTGTCATTAAAAAAAAAAACACTTAAAATAATAATTAAAACGTCAAACACTTTGATCACGAATGTAACCAGAAATAACAGGGGAGTGACTTTGTATACATTTATGTGTTGTACCTGAAAAGCAACAGAGTCTTTATTGAGGAAACCTGAGAGCGCATAAACCCCAGCGACATCAGGGTGGTAGCGACATGCCAAGTGGAGGGCCATAGCGCCACCCATGGAGAAGCCCCCTTGCAATTGGAGAGACAAACAGAAAAATAATAGATTATTTTCCCCCCCACATCTGAACAAGGGATGGACCCATGCTACTTCTTTCAGATAAACTACAAGTACAGGAACTTAAACATGGGAGCTTGCCGATACCGAGTACCGATACTTGGTCATGCCATTATGTCTTTTTACAATTTTGATCACAATTGACGACAGTTTTATTCTAATACAAAATATATTTCAATGAAATTAAAAATAGGGTGGCATGGTAAACAATTGGTTAGCACGTCCGCCTCACAATGCAGAGGTGCAGGGTTCAATTCCGGCTCTGGCCATTGTGTGTGGAGTTTGCATGTTCTTGTGCCTGCGTGGGTTTTCTCCGGGTACTCTGGTTCCCTCTCACATTCCAAAAAAATGAACATATCTTTTACAAAACATTTCATGAAGCACCTTAGATTTCCTTAGACAAATGTGCATTTTACTTTTATCGTTCACATATATTCATTGCAACTGGTCCCACTGATTGTGCAAAGGCACAAAACTTTAACAATTGGTCGTGAAAAATAGAGTAATACATTTTAAGAATAAATGAGATTGATAAAGAAAGGAATTTAAAAAACATTTACACGTGCATATAAAATCTAAATGTAATCCCTGCCTACACCTTACAAACTAAGGAGCGTGCTATTAAATGTGTAAATGTGAGAGTGCTATTGATAGCGTCTGCTGTCATGGGTCTGTCTCAGTGACGGACTGAGGCTGCTGTTGTCTTCTTCTCTGATCAAAACAGTGTCCCCTAGCGGATACTCAATGAATTGCACCTTATTAAAAATATTTATTCTGTGTCTTTTATGCATTTTCTTCACTTTTAAATTATCCTGTGGGGCCTGATTGAACGGCCCGCGGACCGTATGTTTGACACCACTGCTTTACATAATCATCTCGCGGGCCGGATTAAAGTCCTTTGCGGGCCGGATCCGGCCCGCGGGCCGTACGTTTGACACCCCTGCTCTAAACTGTCCTTAGGTGTGATTGTGAGTGTGAATAGTTGTTCGTCGATGTGTGTCCTGCGATTGGCAAATAGTTCAGGGTGTCCCCTGCCTACCGCCCGAAGTCAGCTGGGATAGGCTCCAGCACACCCACAACCCTCATGAGGAAAAACAGATTAGAAAATGGATGGATGGATGGGTACTATGAATTTATGCAGGGCAACTCATGGCTCACTTTCAAAAAAAAAAAAAAAAAAAAAAAAAGGAGCAAGAAACAAATCATAAGTTCCACATCATCAACTTTTTGGTCTTGTACTTTGTAATAAGCCATCCAATTCTATCCTTAATCTTTCACATCTGTGTATACCTTGGAAAGTGTCCAAAGTACCCAAAATCATGTCAGAGAGCTGAAGGAAGAAGAGTGAAAGGAAGAAATGGGAAATGTGGACTCCCGTATTAACTGACCAGTCCAAATGAAAATGATAATTGGGTGCAATCATGAATACTGTAAGTGCACTTAGCAAATTTAAAAAAATCATTTAAAGACTGCAAACATCTCGAGGCAGCAATGCTTAAAAAAAACCTTTACACCTCCTTACTATGGAAATGGAAAGTAAATTGAACAAATTGCGTGTCCAAAATACATTCTACTTCATCACTTGGTGAGGCCAGTGAAGTTCTCTCCCACACACGAAAAAAAAAAAAAACTCCTACTTTTGTTTCAAACTCTCCCCTTACCACAGAAATGGAAAGTGAATTGATCAAATTTCTTGTCCAAAAGACATTCTACTTCATAGCTTTGTGAGGCCAGTCAAGTCCTCCCACACCAAACTCTTTGAACCATTATAGGTAGAGGCTTGAGGCGCTAGGAGGTGCTAGAGCTCCTCCTGCAATAACCGGAGCACTCCACCTCAAACATTTTTGTCATTAATTATTTTTTCTTTATCACTGGGAATGCTACAATTTGTTAAACAAAAGTAGAATCAACACCATATGTGCGACAAATGTAGCCAAGGGGACAAAGTCCCTTTCGTTAATTTGGAGACGTGTCACAAGACTTTTGCGCATTACGCCCACTGCCAAACTACGACACAGACAAAATGTCGATGCTCGTCTTATTGGATCTCAGTAAAGCATTTCATACAATTGATCATAATATAGTGCTGAACAGGTTAGAAACTTGGGTGGGATTAAATGGAAAGGTCCTAAAATGTTTCAGGTCCTACACGGAGGAAAGGAATTACTTTGTGAGCATTGTAAGTTTTGAATCTGATTGTGGAAATGACGTGGGTTCCCTCAAGGGTCAGTTCTTGGGACCCCTTTTGCTCATTCTGTATATGTTAGCTTTGGGTCAAATGCTTCAGAATGCCAATGTTGGCTATCATGGTTATGCAGATGACACAACAGCTACAGTGTATTTATCAATGTCGCCAAATGATACCAGATCAATTAACAATCAATTAATTCACTGTCTAGCAAATGCACAATTGGTTAAACCAACATTTCCTTCAGCTAAACCAAAACAAGGCAGATGTAATTGTTTTCGGCAATAAAGAGGATTGTTGTTAGAAAACACCTGCAGTCACTCTCTTGAGAAACCAAATCCGAAATCTTGGGTTGCTGATCAACTCAGACCCGACTTTCAGAAAGCATATCAAATCAATGACTTACACACCCTTTTAGTAGCGGAAAAACATATCCAGATTGGCGGACTGCAAGCTCCAAGCAGACTAGGAGAAAATTATCCATGCTTTTATCTCCAGTAGACTTGATTATTTTCGGGAGAGCATCAAACAGCTGCAGCTCATTCAGAACGCTGCAGCTTCAGTTCTGACCACAACAAAGAGATCCGAGCATATTAATCCAGTCCGAAAGGCTTTACACTGGCAATTAGCTGTAGAATAGTTTTTAAAATGCTGCTACTGGTCTATAAATCACTGAATGGTTGGGGTCCTGAATACCTCAAAGAAATGCTGATTGAATATAAACACAGTAGGACTCTGAGATCTGCAGACTTGAGTCAATTAGTGGCACCCAGAGTGCAAAATAAACATGGTGAAGCATGAATAAGGTCTTCTGAACTCATTTCTTTGTTGGAAACAAGTCTTAGTTTCTTTACTTTTAACTGGTTTTAACGTTTTTTGTTAATGTGTTGTAATGTTGTCCATGTACACGCTTTCGGTAATGTTTGTCAGCGACTTCTGTTTTCTCTGCTTTGCTTCTGAATGTTGTTCACTGTTGTGTGTATAAATGCTGGTAGGTGTTGTCTCTCTGCCTGTGTGAAGCACATAGAGTTGCCTTGTGTATAAAACGTGCCATATAAACAAAGCTGCCTTGCTTTGCCTTACCATTGCAGGTCCAATATAATTTGGCTCAATTTCATGGTTGATCTATGTTAGGCCTGGTTCTTTTCCAATCTGCAAATGTTTCAGTGTCCCCCTTAAGCGTACCAGAATTAAATTTTGGTTTCCACAGCCCCTTTTCTCACCGTTCTTGGTTTTCGGGGTGTTCACCACAGGGCAGGACACAGGAGGGCGCAAGGATGACGGCGGCCCAGCTCAAGCGTGTCCATATTTGGCCCTGGTTGCTAAGCTTTCAAACAGGTAGTCGGCATAATTTGGTCATAATGTCGTTAGAACAGAACGCTTTGGCTTAATTTTCAAGAAGGGGGAAGAGAAAAATGTGATCCAAGTGAAGCATTAGTAGCTACATTTTTTTAAACTAACATTGTGGAACACATTGCTGATAATTGCATCTTGAAGCAACTGACGCAAAATCCTGTAATTAGGTGCCTCCAGCACAGGCGTTGTTGATTCAACAAACAACATGACATCATTTACGGGCAGCTAGGCTATATCCACAAAGACGTCCACTATTGCACAAATCCTCTGCACCGGCATGATTCTGCTCAGTTTAACACTGGCATCAAAACAAGTCCAGAACATTCAAGTTCACATTCTATTAAAAATACAAAGAAAATAATGAATCAATGAACTGTCATCGACAATCACTTATCATTACAACGAAGAAAACCATTGAATGTTCATCCCACACATCTGTAAAAAGGGTTTTGTTTTATATCATATCCTAACCAATAGATACAGATAAATGAAATTATGATTTTTAATTGTGACTCTGTTTGTGCCACAAGGTCAATGTGACTATTTTATATGAACGGGATTGGCACCGTATGATGTGATGTAAAATCACTGCAAGTATAGCAGAAGACTTTGAGAAGATTGTGAAAAGGTCCTCGGACAACTATCATTGAACACCTGCTCGCATTTGAAGTTATAGTTTTTAGTCACAGTCTAGTCTCAGATTGAGTTTTCACAAAGACTAGGAATTTTGCAGGGTCACTATTTACAAGACTACAACTGGAATCTTGAGGCATTTTTCCCCCACAAAGTAAACTTCTCCCATCATTTTTTTGTCTGTGTTTTCCCTTCGTCCATGCTGCTCGAGATTGCAAAGTTTCCTGTTTCCGGTTTTGTTAGAGCTCATTTATTGGCTGTTGGCGATGTCACATCACCGCCACATTACGCCAAGATTAAGAAAAGACGCACCTAAAACAACTGAGATTACCACCTTACACTAATCGATCAAGATGACGGGAGTGCACTGAACTCCAGTAACTCTAAAACTTCCATCTGCTTTTCAGTTTTTAGTCTGAGACTGTGAAAATCGTTCGGGGTTAGCTCAGCATAAGTTGACCTCGTGGTTTTCTGCCTTCAGAGGTATCATGAGCGCTCCAACTATGCTCAAGGATATTGTGCAAACCCAGAAGTGGGTGTGAAGTTTAACACCTGACGCCACTTCTCCTGCCCCCGCTGGCATTAACACGCAAATCAAACTTTTTGACTGTGGATGTCATGCCACTGTGTGAACTCCTAAAAGGCACACGTGGCTTGTCTCCAAGTATATGCAAAATTTGTGACATTAAAAAAAAAATCTATCAAAACGTCACGTCGTCCACTAAAAATGATTTAACCATTGATCCATTTTCTTGTTTTCATTTGTTAACAGTTAACAAATGAACACAAGAAAATTGGTAAAGGATACTGAGGAAAGAATTTGGCATTCCACGATACTGACAATTAATGGAATGTGTATTCAATTTGAAATTCGCTCTCCTCATACCGGAACAGCAGCCTGCCCCCTCAAAAATGATTTCCATAGAAAATTCTAGTGCTTGTCAGCCAGGGAAGTGCACTTTGGGTACACAGGGCTGCATTTCTACAGAACAGCCAAGTGAATCCACTGAGTATTTATAGTTAATGACAAAATGTTATGATTTAGTAAGAACGTATTTCAGCACTTTCCCATGAGCATATGTTTTTTCACTTGCAGTACTTAGGAATCAAGTCGGGGAGCTTTTCTGGCCCTTAACACTACGCCTTTCACACAGTTCTCTCAAACCCCCAACGTCCCCTGCAGCACTACCTTCATGGTTTAACGACTTGAAGGTTAACCCTTTCCCCGCCGCTCTCAGTAGTTTCCTCTTTCAGGGGTGACCAGCAATCGTGAAATTAAAACAGTTGATGGCCTACCATATGTTTCCTGTGGGAACTCTTACCTTACTCCAGTCATAATATTTATAGTACTTCGTCCGACTCATTGTATTTCACAGTGATTTAGATGGGCTTGATAAGAGTAATATTTGAAGCAAAAAGCTTTTTAGGGCAGAGAAATGCCTTGACAAACGCTTTATTCACTGTTGGCAGAATATAAAAGGCCTCAGGAACTTGATGAGTCGCATTCTTTATTTTATATCATGACCACGGGAGGCAGGGAGTAAGGTTTTGTGACTCTTTGCGAGTTTGTGTATGTGAAGGGGAACGGCATTAGAGGAAAAGAGATACTGTGAGAAAGGGAGGGCTGTGAGTGAGTGAATGCGTGAAAGGGATAGAGTGGTTGTGGTGGGAGTTGACAGATTGCATCGCCACCATCCTGCCAAAGTAAAAAGATCTGACATAGGGGAGGATGTTGAAGTCAGTTACTGATATGTTGTAACCATTTTAAATCACTCTCAATTTCATTCATGATGCTGTGCAGAACAATATTTAGACCCCTTGTTGACAAAAATAACTCCTCTTTTTTCCCCACCCATCCATTTTCGAATGTGCCTATCCTCACGAGGGTCGCGGGCATGCTGGAGCCTAGCTCCGGGCAGTCGGCGGGGTGCACCCTGAACTGGTTGCCAGCCAATCGCAGGGCACACATAGACGAACAACCATCCGTGCTCACAATCGTACCACAGGACAATTTAGAGCAGGGATCACCAACCTTTTGGAAAATAAGAGCTCCTTCTTGGCTACTGATTAATTCAGAGGCTAATGATTAATTTGCTCGAACCACCTTCATATGGTATATGTAATGATTCATTTTTAACACAATGTCCCAACTTCACTGGAATTGGGTTGCACAAAACATGCTTCGCTTTTAAAACAACAGTAGCCGCGAATGCTAAAGTCAATGTAATATTCCACCGAGATGCTAACGGGGAATTATCTTTGACTTCAGGAGTGATATCCCTTCAAATAACCATATATTCACGCGCAAATGCTGTGGAAACACATACACACAGGGAAGATGACACTTCACCAATCTGTGAAAAAAAACAAGTTCAATTGCAACCTACTTCTTATGTCATTCTTGTGACAGTGCCCCTAAGAAGCCAAGACGCGCCTAAACAGACGGTGTTTGTTTTAATTGTTTTTTTTTCTCCAATTGCTATAATTTTTGTACATTCTTATTTTACAATCCTAATTTTTTTCATTGTTCTTTCAAGTTATATTTTCAATTGAGTTTTCAAGAATTCAAGGAATTTTCCTTTCCAAATATTTGAGGGTCCAAGGACTTTTTTGTCATACCAACACATTTCCACAGGAAATGTGTTATGAAAATAAGATTAAAAAAATAAGGCTGATGCTTATTCGAGGCTTCTAGGTGTGCAAAGATGAAAGGCAGCAAAGATGTGGATGTAGCAGAATGAAAATGTTAGAGGCATGAATTTCACATATTTATCATTTAATACTTGACAAAAACATGAGCGAGTTCAAGAATAAAGTATTCAACATGCATGGATGAATGGGCATGAGGCTATGGAGTAGTTGAGTTTTAGTAACTGAATAAAGACTAAGTTTTTATTTCATTCTCAATCAAAATAGTCGTGATTATTTTTTTTTCCATAATCGCCCAGCCTTACCCTTTCTCCATCATGCATCAATTTTATGGAAAAAAAATGCCAATTATTGCAGTTCCAAGCAATATAATACGATAAGCACAAAACACGGATTGTGTATTGAACTAAGAGTGAGAGATCAGATAGGACCAGATTCATACCGATGATTATTCGATGTTTGGGGATCCCAGCAATGACTTCGTCCTGAATGATGGACCCTAAGGTGCTGCACATGGCATCTATGGATTGTAGGTGCTCTGCGCTGTCGTATGAGATCTTGTATCGGTCAAACCAAACGGTGGACAGAGCTCCATGCATTGGTGTGTATGGTCTGATTGGAATTAAGGGGTCAAAGGTCAGCTCAAATTACAGTGACATGGTAATTTTTCATTATTTAAAATGTTCACACACAATTTTGTAATTGCAGAACTTTAAAGGGAGACAACAATTGCTTTTGGGATGCTAGCTGTCCTTGGATTTGTTCACATTTTCCCCACCTTCAAACTTAACTTTCAACCTCTCTTGTAACACTTTTGAGGTCAGTTTACAAATTACATGTCATTCAATTTTTGAGGTTCGACTGTCCTGTGCTTAAAAAGGAAATTGTTTGGTATCAAAGACAGAAATCAATGGCCAAAGATCACTTCAAGACTGACTCAGTGTAAACATCCAAATATTTTTTTTTAATTTGTTAAAATTTGTCACTGTAGTTATCGTAGCTAAATAAACAAGGTTCTGAATGGACAGTATTAGATTAAGGATTGGTAAATTCTGCTCTGAATGTATTTTCAATACACACTATCACACGGCTAGGTCATATTTTCATCAACAACCATGTAAGTTGAAAAGGATTTTCATATCAACACCGCCAGTGTTCCTGGTTTTGCTCCAGGCACATGATCAAAACAACACCACACCCACTCACTCACTCTCTGTGAATTCTCTCCACAATGACCTATTCAGTTCACACATGGACTCAATCGGATCTTACACAGACTTTGTACAAGGAGGCTGGCACGACTGCTTAATATCAACTTTAAACCTGTCTGACTGATTCAGACATATGCGCTCTTCCAAACGCCTCCAAGAAGACGATTTCAAAGAATTTTGAGCCACCTTTGAGACATATTTAGTACATTGACAAACAAACACACACTAACCATACCTTGCTGGGGCTGTGGGGTAAATGACTCTGATGTGGGCAAAGGTCAGACCAGGCATCATCACATCTCGAACCCAAACTCTTAATCCTTGCCCTGTGTCACCTAGTTGTGGAAATTAATGCCATCAGCGTACCGACTATGGGAATCATGGAAATTATATGTTGATATTGTGTCCTGCGTAATGTCCTGATCTCTTCAACACACTATTATCCTTTTACATAGTATGATTAACTCTAGAAGGAATCCTCCAAGTAAATGCGCTGCAATACGTTACATGAAAATGCTGCACAGCTGTTTCAAGGGCTACTTTATTCCTTAACAGATGCTAGATTATCTATGTGGACCATAACACGACAGACGTTCTTAATCTTTGTGCTAAAAGTAGTCTTTTTAAATAGCAAAATCCGTGAAGAAGTCCGTTTTGACAACCTTGAACTATCCGGTTGACTATTAAAAAAATAATCAAGGTCTTACTTCTCGCATACTTGAGAGTTTCAGAAACAACGCACCTGAACCATGCAGAAAGATAACCGAAGCGGAGTGCTTCCCTGTGGGAGACACAACACACTTGCGAAGCTTGTGTATAGCAGCCATGACGGTAAAGACCGGTAACCTAATCTCGCGAGAGTACGCGCGATGCAGCACGGGATGGAATCTTTCTTTCTTTCTTTTTTTAAATTAGTATTGAATATTTGCACAAAAATAAAAAAATACGATGACTATTTGTCTCTGTTAAATGCAAACACGTACACTCGAATACAAACAAAAAATATAATCTTTTCTAATGATTTGTTTTCAATGCTTCTCAGTTGCTTTGAAAATAAAACAACAAAATAAGATAAAATAAACAAGATAGCCACATCGCAATCAATCTTGGTCATGCTTGATGTGTGTGAAGCTCTCCATCTCCTGTTGAATTTGAGCTGTGACCAGCCAGTCTGCACCAAAGTGTCTGAAAGCAGTGTGGAGTTTAGGATTCACATTGGCTTTGTCTTTAAAAGCATGTACAGTCCTCCCCAGTTGAGACATAAAATCTCAGCAGGGTGCTACAATCGTCAAGGCTCAGTGAGTCACATGGTTCTGTCATACTTGAGAGGATGTGATTTTTTTTCCTTCCAGAACTGTGGTAAAGATGAGAAGGTGAGCTTGCTGGTATGGTAGAGGATCATAAAAATGTCTGTGCAAGGTGTTCTCAACACACAGGATTTATACCCCCATGTAATAGCCTGGTGGAAGTACAAGACAATATGGCTGTTTGTCTCCTTCTGGTAGAACGCAGTACATCTCCAAAGTCTGGACATGTAAAAAATACAGAAACTATCTACCACTAATATAAAATAGCAATTAATGCGTCAGACAAAAACACAATTTCAAAACCATATTATCTGCTCATCACTGTAGAGCCTATATATAATATTTTTCCTCAAACCATTGTATGTTGGATATCTGCTTAAGTCTGACGTCAACTTATTTATTTTAGATAATAGATTTTCTATCATAGCACACCACTGCTTTCATACTATTTTCAGTCCGAGATGTTGCCTCATAGCTCCCCCAGACCTTGACAAGCAGGTCTCAAAGCTGCTTCTTGTTCTGTTTATTACCGAGGAATGACTTCAAGTCATAGGGTGTGTTTGTGTGTTTGGACCATCCGTGGTGTACTTCTCAGCAAAACCATGCCTGAGTTTGTCCTTGGCTTTGAAATCTGTCTGTTACTAATCTGTGGAGAGCACATAATAAGGCTTGGCAAACATTAGTTCTAAGAGCTCCATGTAAATCTCCCCACAAGTTGGTGGGAGTTTGGACATCATTTGGAAAAGGGCATGTAAGTAAAAGGTATCCTTTGGGGTAGGCTATTTCTTCTTTGCTGTCCTTCGGCAGATTCTGAAGGACACTGGCCTTGTTTGGTTTAGCAAACTAGCCATCGGGAGAGCTGGGGGCATGTGAAACAGGTGAGAGGATGAACTCCATGACTTCCTCAATTCCTCAATCTGTGACCTTATGAATAGCTGAAAGGAGAGGTTACTCTGCTGTATTGCACAGAGAACTGTAAACGAGAATAACCAAATTAGGAAGGCATGGATGCAACATACCTTTAAAGAGTCTTTTTTGTGTCATGCAATGTGCCAATTAGCTTAACTTTAATCAATATCCAACTTCCACGTGCACTGCAGATGTTAGTTTTAGCCTTTTGCTGCAGTGATCCATTGTCTTGATCTTAGTTTTTTTTTTTGGGCGGCCTATGAACCCCTTCCTCTTGGAAACGAAGCAGTCTTGGATGAACTGCTCTTTGGCAGCCTCAGCCTGCAGCACGTCAACTTCAAGTTCTGGATCGATTGGAGCCCCAGATACTGGAAAGTGCAGTCAGCATTTGACAGGGATTCTCCAGGGGTTTGTGAAGCCTTTGATGGCAACGTTGACACTGCACTGCCTCTTGAGACTTTTTGATTTGGTCAGCTCCAGCTCATAATGCTTGCCTGCCATCTCAGCGTTGTCGATCATGCCACACATCTCAAGAGTAAGCTCATAGAGCTGAGCCTGGGCAGAGGTTGTGCAGCACCACTTCCGGCATGGGCCGCAATTGCTGACGAGAACGAGTAGGCCAGCTGCAATGTAAAGAGGGATAATTCTAAATTGTATCCATCACAACCAACATTTTGTTGTATTTACATGGAGGTGATAATAGTTTTATCTACTGGTACATACTGACATACATGAGACTCAGCAAACTTTATCAACGTCTAATGCATCGTCTTGCTGACTCCTGCGAGAGCGGCAAGGGCACACACGATGCAACAATGATGGCTTTGTGCTTGATGTAATGACCAGAATTAACCGCTCCCCAATGTTTGTGAGAAAGACCTCAGACAAGGTAAGCGCCTGCAGGAAATAAAAAAGAACAACAAATGATCCGAAAAATAAACTCCCACTTCACTTAGTGTTGCCAAGAAATCTAAAAAAGGGCAACTGCAGTGATGCAAAAGTTCAAATGTCTTGGTTTTCATGGCTAAATAGCAGTAGGGGGCAGTCAGTGAATCACTGACGGACTCCCGTTTAAAGCGTCCGTCACTAACCCGAACAGCAAAGACGACCTTCGGCAAATAATGTTTTCTGGCACGCGTTAACCACGTGACGTCCACACTACCTAAATTTCTGCTTGTATAACAATGTATGTATTTTTTTCTGTAAAGTGGTTCAAACTATTTGTAATCGAACACAATTGTGTGCTGTTACCCTTGTCATCATTTTTTCTAAAATATCGGTGACAAACTGTAATTTGGCAATGATGGAAGTGTTGTAAAAATAACAATGATGGAGTGACAGACTGATGACTGATGTACTGGCGGGCCGGCCTCTGGTGAATGACGGATGAGGGACCGGCAAAATTTCCCGACGCACCCATCAGTGCTAAATAGGGAACAATACAGATTGGTTTCTGAAAGCATCTATTGATAATAAAAGTGGTTTCAGAATAATTGTAGGTATGAAGGGAAAAATATATCTTACTGATTGTTTCAAATAGTATTTGAACTTGACAGGGCAGCGGAAATGGCCTTCTGCAGGTACCCACTGATATGTGAAAATAATTAGGAGAAAAAAAAACACAGTCAAGATGTGGTCAAATATAATAAACAACTATTTCAGTGGATTCCCAGTATAAAAATTGTAAGGGAAATGTGTTCATTTGTCTCCGTAAGGTACTTATATCAAAAGAGATGGAATTTTCCATGTCATATATAGATGTTGCGGTTTTAGGTTGGGTAAAGTAAATGGTTACAAATAAGGCTTTCCAGACATTATTTCAGCTTGGTACCTGCGAGATTCTGAATATTTTGAGACTTCGTGGATAAGAAAGAACAGGCAGAACTGGAAAAAAAAGGCCTTTTTTGGTTTTTTTTTTATCCAGACAAAAAAAAAAAAAAAAAAAACCTTTTCCATTCTAGACTAGATCAGCAGGATGAAGACTGAAAGGATGTATTTCTGGTTTTCATAAGTCTTAGGGCTTTGGAGAAAGAGACAAACTTGCTATCAATGAGGGGTGCGTCTGTTGATGCACTTCCAATTTCCATATTTCATCTGCGGCAGTAGAATTCCAAGCCACCTTTGGTAAGGATTGAGCTACTTTCACATTTTGTTCTTGTGTTAATGTTATAGTAAAGTGTGGCATACAAAAGTAAGAATAATTCACTGCGAGTGTTATGATTCCTCTTTTCGTGGATTTGCCATTGTCGTACGATAGTATGCCTTTTCTCCAAATTACTTACTTTTCACATGTGGATTAGGGAAGCCAACATTTGGTAATGCCACTTCTTGGAGAGGATTGGTGATATAATTTACATAATCATAAACAGACAACATGCAATGAAACTGAATATTATGAAATAATATCTAGATTGAATAGAATGGTCTGCCATGGTTTAGGCATGCACAGTCATGAATCCTACACTGCCGCTGTTATCTTGATAAATACAACATGTTTTCCAGCACTCTGTCATACTGTGTGGTGACCTAATGGAATGTCTGGATCTGCATATCAGTTTAAACACATTTGAGTATCTTATCTTGTATAAACCTTGGCCTAGTTAGCTTGAATTCTGGTCATTTTCCTAAGCCATGCACTCACTGGACCACACAAATTGTGTCCCTGCGCTGAACCCTTCTCTAATAATACAATGAGCAGGGGAAAAGTGTTGCTTTAAAGGGCCTAAAGCAAATAGAGTTACTGCTTGTACTCATTGTATTGAGATTTGACGGTATCACAATGTTTGTGATGACCTTATTGATAGACAGACTCTCTCAACAAAAGCTAATTATGAAAATAAGACTTAACTTAAAAATAAATCAAACAAATGCCTTATGTTTTTCCACAAAGTCAGCATGTGTGTGCCAATATTAAGTGTAGATGAGAGCCATTCTCCACTGAGAAATTGTATAGTGTTACTTTTGGCTTGTCCCATCACGAGCCACCACAGTCACTTTTTTTTTTTTTTTTAAACGCTGGATATCCTTTTTGTACACAACCCACCCATTTTTGATCCAGGGTAGGAATAATGAGGCTAAGATGGATGAAAGGCAGCAGCTTGTACTACTACACCATCAGAGTACTGAGGAACCTTGTGTAGTAATTCATCTGCAGCAATTCCAAGCTTCACTGATCGTTCATTTGACCACAAATGGGCCAAAACAGAGAGGGTTCGCAATGAATACGTAATTGTGCGTGGGTCACACATCGTCCAGAGGAAGAGGTCATTGATAAACTGACAAATTCCTTATAACTGACATTCTTAATTCTGGCTACTGCTGAGGAAGTCTATGGGAAAAGTTCAAGTTTGGCAGAGATGTAGCCAGTAAGTTGGGACAGAGCTGGAGCTTTTCCTTCTTAATATTCTGTATGACAGGCTGAGTACACACTGGACAGATCAACAGTCAAAGTCAGGACTGAGGCATTGAGATAGACAACTATTCACATTGAAAGAACCCAGCTCAGAATCAAACAAATCACAGATTTACCATGTTTGAAAACAAAACAAATCCACATTTTACTGTATTTGTACCATTGTACACTGCTTCGGTATTGAGATAAATTATGTTTTATTTCAGTTAGCTGTCAGGAAAAGTGCCAAGAAAGAACCTATGACATTGTGATACACATCTGGATAAAAATGCATGCTGTAGAATTAATTTTGTCGTTCGTTGGTACAGTCTGCTTGCATTGGGGCATTGATCGGTAAAAAAGGCTATCTGTTTGTGGCAGTTTTTTTCCCAGACTGAAAAGTGTTTAATCGGTACCTACAGGACTGGAGTGGAACAGTATCACCCAGTTCATCAGTTCAACAAATGTGTGTTTAGGTTGGTAGGGCTTAGCTGTGATCCATTTTTATTTGTAATCAATGTTCCTCTCCTTCCTACAATGTAGAATTTGGCACAGTGGTACCTGTCTAACCCCACGACACAATGTATGCACTATTCACCTAAGTATCTTGCTTCAGTCCAAATGTAGCACGCAGCCTTGGCAACTTTTTCTAAGCTTTATGGCTTCACATCAAAGACCCCCTCCTGCACCCTTGCCGGAGAGCGCCACATAACTCAACCGACATGAAAGTACTTTTGAGTGTAAATTTTTTATAGCGAGGAAAAAAGTAAACATGCAGAACCTTTAATGTAGTAGATAACTGGGTGGTTGGTCAATGGGTGATGCAGTGACGATACTAGAATGTCTCACACAATTTGAATCAGCGCAGTCAGCTTGAAGTCGGCTTTTCATTGTGTCTTCAACAATGACAATAAAATATTCTTCTTTCCTATGTTGCGTTACCTTTAACTTCTCTCACAGTACCACTTGTTTTGTTTGAACTGAGCATTAGTATATATATATATATATATATTTTTTTTTTTAAATTTTTTTTTTTGAACCACCACAGGAGCAGAGGTTTTGGAAGTAGAGGAATGCTTACTGGAGGCCAAAGAATTTTCTGGCAATATCTCTTTATTCTCAGGCCTTACTTTGATGAGGATGGAGGTATTCTATTTCTAGAAAATTCAAAGCATACTGTACATGTCAGTCCAAAAGGAGGAACAACACGATACAGCCCACTTTGGTAGGCCCCATCAAACTGTCCCAAATCTATCCCAAATGCCTAAATGAGAATTAACTTGATTATGACCGTCTTTAAGACTTGATTGATTCACTTTCAAAAATGTTTTTTTCCACCTGCAGTTTTCACACTTCTCACACAATGTACAGTTCTTCCTCTTGTGCAGTATCCATTCCTCAGATGAGGCTTGGCTGATTGACGAAAGTAGTTCTGGCCAGATACTGTATGCACAGCACTTAAAATGGGAACAGTGTATCTCATTCATATTGAGCCAGGTGGAATGAATTGAATTTTCCTTATCCTGCAGGAAAGGAATAAACTATCTTTCAGTACAGTGATACTCACCTGGCTAGAAGTATTTTTAGAAACTAAAGATAAATGATCCAGTAGTCTTGGTTCTCTGTTCTGCTTGGGTTGCTCCGGGAAACTTGGTATATCCTCTCTTGAATTATGTGTTATAAATAATAACTTCAAACCAGACCAATCCCATCATCTCAAAGCAAAAAAAAAAAAAAAACCCACAGACACGATGGGGGTGAAGTAATCATTCACAATGTACATTTTTGAGCAATGACATTAGTGTAATGTGCAAAAAATGGACATACATGAGTCAGAGAGCAATGGGATGCCAAAGTATGCCTCTGGGTGAAATGGGGACCACTGGGTGTCAGCAAAAACATGATTATAATGCTGCTACTTTGCTGGTTGAACTCAGCACTCACGGTCAGATGTTGATTTAGACTTCAGAGCAGGGTTTCTAAAAATAGTTCGGTTCAAGACCCAAATTAGCGATAAAGTGCTTTCATCCTCAGCACTTAACTTTACAAGTTCAGGGCCTATAAAGTAGGGTTTCAATTATTTTCATATTTTTATTAGATTTCCATAGCAGATTTTTATATCTGAGGAAAAATTCCCTGTCCCAAACTTGACAACAGAATGACGGTGAGGTATGTCTAGATTTTAGTGCCACTTTTGATTTTGTAGGTCATGATTTGCTACTTGAGTAACTGTCTGCATGCAGATTTGGTGTTAGACCACTGAGGTGATTAAGAAGTTATTTAACCTGTATAACCAGTACAGTACAACCAGTATTTATTAATGGAGTCATTCCACTCCGAAACATTTGAAATGTGGCGTGCCCCAGGGCAATTACCTGGGACCATTGATTTTTCACTTTTCATTAATGACATGCCTTACGTCCTGAAGAGGTACTGTACAACTTTCTATGCAGACGACGCTACTGTTTATTATGCTGCATGGAATGTATTAGAGCAGAGGTGCCTAATATGTCAATCGCGATCAACCGGTAGCTCACGGATTGGTCCCAAGTCGATTGCGAGGGGTGTAGAGGGGAAAAACAAAACAAAACATTTGTGTGCCTGTGTGCGTATTATGAGTATGATATATTCTTGTGTTAATGCACACTGCACTATTAGCATCCCATCAGTGTCACTTTCACAAAAGTAAAAATAAAATAAAAAAGCAGGTCACCTTTAACCGACGGTGGCGCGTGACCTACATCACCAGAAGTTGTTAGCGGTCAGAAGTCTGCAATTGCAGCTTGCGATCAGAGCTGTTGCGCTATACAGTGTATTTGCATTCTGACTGACTGCTTACCCAGTCCACTTTACAGGCCTAGCTGTCATATGTCTGTTTTTTTTTTTTTTTGCAGAGAATATCCCATTTGTCTACGAAACTACAACTGCGAGATTTGCTCCAAAGTGGAGTGGGCCGGTGTCCACTACGCTAGGTATACAACCCGTAGGCTAGCTGGAAAAGGACAGGAGATGGTGATGAAATGAAGTGAGGAAGAGGATGAAATGCTCCTTATTTTTGAGAGCGCTGATGTAGAAACAATTATGGGTGCGACTTTGTATAGTATCAATGATCCATTTGTTAACAGTGGTTAGATTGCAACATTTTTTGGAACATTTTTGTTTCCTTTAAAAAAAAAAACGATCATAAACCCCCATAGCATTGAAAAATGTCTTGCAAGATTGGGAACTTGTTGGAAATTGTTCTAACAATCAAAAGAAGTTGAGCCTGTGGCTACAAGAGCAATATTTTGAACATGCACCGCAGACATGGAGAGAATGTTGCTGTGACAATCAGTACAATTTCCAGGGCCTACCCACAGATGAGGAATACAAGGGGATTAGTCTGAAAATCCTAATTTGAAAAGACCACCGAAACACACACACTCTTTTCAATTTGTGGACAAAAAGCCCACGGAGCAACATGTGTATTGAACTTTCTGCTTGTGTTACAAAAAAACCCACCAGAGAAGATTCGTCGAGTGCCCCATGAAGATTGAAAGCAGTCAGACAAGAACGTAGGTATACTTTCATGTGTATGGAGTACCAACACTTTAGCATTAATTGCAGCAACATGTTGTTTTACATTTGTCTTAACAGTTCATATGTGACATACATGTGGGCTGTTCTTGCACAATATAAACTGAATAAGCCAAGAATCTCAGCACAGACCCAATACATTGGTCAATGAATCGGTATTTTAATCTTACTCTGCATATAATACTGTTGCAGTTATTATGTACCAGGTTTTCCTTCATTTTTAGTAGCGCATACTCAGTGATGTGGTTTTCCATGTAGTAGTGGGGAAGAGATTAGATGAAGGGGTTGGCTTGGTCCTATATCTGCTTTCAGGTAAATAAGACTGCCCCACAAAACATGACCAACTTCCTCACCTCCAAGCTTCTCCAGCTCAGTGTGTCCCCTGTGATCTGCCAGTGGATCTCCAGCTTCCTGATGGGAAGGGCACAACAGGTGAGGCTGGGAAGGACAACATCATCAACATGCACCAGCAGCACTGGGGCACCCCAAGGATGCGTCCTCTCTCCGCTTCTCTTCTCCTTCTACATGAACGACTGCACCTCAACGCACTCGGCCTTCAAACGACACCTCAATCAAGTCACCAGCCTCATCAAAGACGGCGACGATGGCTGCGTACCGAGAAGAAGTGTAGCAGTTGGCGCTCTGGTGCAGCCAATGCAACCTGTAGTTGAACACGCTCAAGACTGTATATGATCATGGACTTCAGGAACCATCCTTTGCCACAGCTGCCCCTCACACTATCCAACCACCTGATGTCAACCGTCGAGACCTTCAAGTTCTTGGGAATCACAGTGTCTCAGGACATGAAGTGGGAGGCTAACATTAACTGAAAAAGGCCCAGCAGAGGATGTGCAGTTGAGGAAGCACGGCCTGCCACAGGAGCTGCTGAGACAGTTCTTTCGATACTTATATGTCATGTCTTTGTTTATCGTAGTTGCTTGTTATTGAAATACTAGTGTAGCCTGTACTACCGGAGACAAATTCCTTGTGTGTTCTACATACTTGACCAATAAAGATGATTCAGATATTTCATACTTCATACATATGTAATTGTTTATCTATCTTTTTATGATTTTACCTTGACATTACTATTACTACTACTACTACTACTACTAATATATCTTGTACTATGACAAAGTACTACTACAGTGTACTAATAAATATATGAATAATTAGCATTTTCTTTATTTTATTTTGGTTGATGTTTTATATTTGATGGAATATACAGCACTTTGTTTCAGCTGAGGTTGTTGTCAAAATGCTCCATAGATGAAGCTGAGTTGGGTTTACTAAATTGGGTAGAATCTTTCTCCTTTTCACCACTGGGCAGCAATGGGTATTATTAAAGGAAGCAGACAAGTCCCCATGCCTCTTTCCAATAGGACTGGATTAGGAATGAGACTTTGAAGAAAAGGGTTACATTTCAAAGAGAACCAATGGTGGTGTGATGGAGAAACATGAGACTGAGAAAAATAGAGGGAAGGCATGATGAAGGAGTGTATTTTTATTTTAAGATAATGCAGTATTAATGACAGATGAGTTCTTTTCCGAAGTCACCCCAATGAGCATTTTTTGACATACAGAATAGTCATTTTTGATGTGTTCTGTCAGTAATGTATGGAGTCTGAACATTTCTAATTCTAAAAAAAAAAAAAAAATCATTCATATGTTGCTGATTATACTGGTATGAATGAATGAATTCCGAAAAAATAATGTCTTAATAACTAACTACGAACTAAGAAAACAAAAAAGGAGACAAAGAAGGAGGAGGAGAAGGAGAAGAAGAAGCAGACGATGAATATTTATAGACAGGAAGGGATGTTCAAGATGCTTGGATTGGATGCACACACACACACACACACACACACACACACACACACACACACACACACACACACACACACACACACACACATATATATATATATATATATATATATATATAAAGAAAGAAAACCACACAAGAAGGAAAGAAAAAAACAACAACAAACAGAAGTTAAGCGACTCCAGTCAATATTTCAATTACACTGTCCAACAATCTGTTGTGACCCTTGCCCTGATTCAGAAGTCTAATGTTTTGAACAAAAAGGCTGTACTTATACGAGACTACAGTGTGTAGATGTAGTTTGTTTGCATTGCAGGGTTGATTATTATTACTACTGTTCGTGCCCCTGGTCCAGGTGATAAGCACAGAGGAAAAAAGTCGGGAATGTGTAGGAGTTGACTATCTTATCAAGGGAAAAGACGCAGGAAAGATAGCGTTGGCATTGGTAGACCTGGTGATTAATGTACACAATAACGCTGACAGCCGCACCTCCCCCTCTCATACCTCTCCCAGGAGAGAATCCGATTTGGCACAAAAAGAAAAACAAGGTCATGAATAATCTGGTGTGAACAAGGCAGTCAGATGAATCTCAAACCCTCCTTTACTATTTTCCATCTGAAAATGTTTTGAAGACATTCCAGCTCTGTGGAAAATGTGTGTGGTAAGTGAATAAACAGACACTGATTCAATTCCAGCGTCATATAAGCTTGAACACGATCCTTGGAGGGGCTTGGGAGGGGGATCTGTGGGCCCGAGGCCTATTCGAGGGCTCCTGAGTAGGCTACATTTTTTTTGGGACACTCAATAAGCAGTATGTTAGGTCAGAAGTTTAAGGCTCATATTGTCCAGTCAGTGACAACATAAGTGATGCAAGATTTGTTTGCTACATTCAGTGCGCGAGAATAGTTGAAAGTGGTGGCAGGACTACATGAGGCTCATGCACCATGGTTTGCACATTCGACCGTTCTCGGTGTCCGTGCTGGAGCACCTGTTCTCATCAGCCTGGCCCCTTGTGTCTACCAATCAGCTTGTGGGTTCATTGTTTCCATTGAGGTTACTGTCTTGTTTCCTTATGTGGTGAGTTTATTGCTACCTTTTGTTCCATACGTTCATTCTAATTTTGTTAGGCTTTGTTAATTTGACAGCCCAAATTAATGAATCTGTATTGTCATGTTTTGGCTCTGTCTCTGTTTGTTTTCAGCACCGGCTGGAGTGGAGGATGTGCCTCCTCAGCAACTGTCAATGGCTATATAACCAATCAGTGGCTTGAAACACAAGAGTCTTGGGCTATGTTCACACAGGAGGGCAAAATGCCC